GGTTAAGGCGACGGGGTTCACCGACCCATCGTCCGTTACAAGAACGCGGAAGAATAATTAACGCAGAATCAATAATTGCAGGCGTTTGTACGTGGAGGGTATACGATGATTTTGCAAACTCTAAAGTAAAACTGAATATTTGCGATTGTTGCTTTTTACTCTCTTCGGAACAGATGGGCTGTAACGCGAGTCATTTCTTCGCGAGTGCGTGTGTGCGTGATTATAAGATACGAAATAGTGGAAAATTAATGCCGATTTATGAAAGAAAGATCAGCAGCTGGACTCGTGTCGCCGGCGACGACCTGAAACTTTGCTTTTATTCAGCATTCAATCTTTTAGTCGTAAGATCGACGATATTAATTATAAACATCACATTAGTTGTAACGAATCTTTATATCGCTTTTTTTCCCCCGCGTTGTTAGTTCATTCTATTTTTTTTTTTTTCTTTTTGTAAGGGCTCCTTTTGTTTGTTTTTTTGTCCTTTTAAAGGGGACCCACGAATGTTGTGTCTCTGATAATATTTTTGTAATTGTTAATTATCGAGTGTGGTCCAGCTGCAATCATTGTTCTTAATTATTGTCCTCCATCCGGGAGATGGTTTTCTATTCGAATTATTATTTTCTTTCGTCGTGTTTTACTTTTTCTTTATTTTTTTTTTCCTTTTTCTAATTTATTGTTATTCACTGCCTCGAGGCGGTCGCAAGGATCGTTACTTACTTTATCCGAATTGTAACATCGTGATATTAAGTCATGGAAATCGAATAGAGACCTTTTGTTTAACGACAATTCTCATCGAATCATGTTCATTATTACCTTGTCGAAGCATTTTTTAAAAACGAATCACGAGGAATTGTCGTTGTGTCTTGGTTTAACCATCCGTGTAAATTAATTTTCATGATTAATGGCGAAACAAAAAAAAAAAAAAAAATAAGAGAGAGTGAGAGAGTGAGGGAAAAGCGAATCCTTTTCTGGATTTCGATAACAAAAGGGACTCGATTTGAAAGAGATTATATGCTGGATATTTGCGATACGTAATTCCGCACTATGTGAATCGATGTAAATGAATGGAAATAATTATTATTATTTATTGAGATGGTACTTGGATTTCAATAAACTTGATGCTATGAAAGGAAAGGAGAAAGCAACGCTAGCGTGACAGAGACGATTTCAAACATTCTTGATCATGTAGTTAAAAAAAAAAAAACCACAAAATATTAATCGTCTCTGTACACTGTTTCTTTGTACTTATTATCAACGTTCTGTCAAATTCATTCACTGGGAGCTAAGCGAAACTATTGCAAATAGTAAAGATCGTCTTTAAAAAGAAAAGTGCATTTTGTTAACGAGCTTAAGAATCGCTTCGATCGATCATTTACTATTTAAATAAGTTCCTTAGCTCGTCAAATTACGTTTCCTCGTGTTCCACTAATTTCTCTTCGACGTTTTTGTAAATCAGCGCTGTCCGAAAGATTGTAAAATATCACCCGTGATTCCATTTCCTCGATTTGAAACTTACTCGACCCATGTAACAATTCAGCGAGGCGGTTTTAATTTTTTGTAACGCATTGTTTATAAACATTGTATCCCAATTAAAAACGTTTTACGACATCTAACGAAACGGACGATAATTTCATTTAAAAATTCGGCTCTCACCGAAGAAACTTGTTTTCTGTTCTTCTTTTTGTTCGCTCGAATATCTGGAGATAAAAACAGCAATGTATTTCAGTAGGGAGGGATTGAAAGAAAAATGCAAGCGACGACGACGATAATGATTCACCTATCGGAAAGATATCTGGAAAAATTTGGGAAATGAAAGTGAAAAGAGGAGAGAAGAAGTGGAGATTGGCTGTCCATAAAACTCTGTCCAAGGTGTATCGATCAAAGTATTGGAACTGTACTTGTACTAAACATCCTCCTTTTGCTGAGTTTCCTAGTTCGATATTATTCTAATCAAAAGAACCAAAAGTAAAAAATAAAAAAAAATAAAAAAGAAATAGACGCTGGCAAGAATGACGAAAAACGTGCAGGATTCAAGCTAGTTGCTAACGACTCGAATAAAATCCATTAGACTAAAAAAAAAAAAAAAACACCACAAAGTAGAATATCATGTTCAAATAAAAAAGAGGCATATAGAAAGACACAGACACAAAAATGATAATGGATTTAGCAACGAGCCTCGACCCAGCGTCAAAAAAGGAGTACTGGCGTTGAAAATCAACACTAACCATAAATTCTTGCAATTTTGCACTGTGTTTCTTACAGAGTCAGACAATGAAAGTGTACCGTCCCCGGTTAAGCCGCAGCCGAGGGTTCCTTACTGTAAAACCTACGAAGAGATACGATTGGAGGAGATCCAAGCTGAGAGCGCAGCCTATTATTCCTACCAGATGGAAGACTGTCAGACCGACGTGGCTGGTGACAAGAGCAAGGCACGTAAGACCCGAAGGACATGCCTGCAACCAAATAACGAGGTGAACGATGAGAACACGAAAAAGGGTTTGGACTTTGAGGTACTGACTTTGGAGGAGATCCGTCGTCGAAAGAGGCGTAAAGCTATGGAGGAAAACGAAACGAAAGAGTCTGACGAGAAGGAAGAATCGAGCAGCGACTTCCTGAAGGATGCTATCAACACGTTGGCTCAACTGAGGGACATCACTTCCGTGAGGGGAGTGAAGAGACCGTTGGAGGAGTCTGAGGATGACACGGACAGATGTAAAGTCAGGTGCGATACTAATCGTGCTAACTTTGGTAACGTTCCACCGGTTAAACTTCGAAGATCACCGAAGAGGTTCACTTCGGTAGCGAAGAATGATTCGGAGGAGATTAACGAAGGGAGAAAGAGTCCTGTAGATAGATTAGGTAATTCGGAGTCTAGTGTCGCTAGGAGGAAAGAGGTGGAGATCAGACTTTGTGACAGTAGTACGGATGAAACGTTAATGAAAAGCGAGGAGAGAGATTCAGGTGACATTGAGGAAGCAAAGGAAAGTATGATTTCTTGCGACAGTTTGTTGAACGTGAACGAGGACGAGTATCTAACGTTAGATATGGCGTCTGATGATATCCTAAAGGACATCGACGCTTTGCTGAAGGAGAAAAGCTCGGTTTGAAGAGATCAGACAGAGATTCAAAGGGACATGTTACTTATGAAATGATATTTTATTCTCCTTTTTCGTTTCATCGTTTAGCTTGCTTTTTCACGGTGTTTTTAGACGAAGAATTCACTGCTGTGTTCATTCATAGCCGATTGATAGATAAATTGTGTATAGTTTTTCTTCTTTTTTTTTTTAAAATGACAAATTATTGCGAAAGACGAGAACTAAGGGTGTTAATAAATAATGGTCTCGATATTGGTCATAATTTTTGATATTGCAGTGTTTTAAATTAATTGTATCTTTATCATTGCGTTTGACGAAAATTCAGTGCATTTCTTTTAATTTATATGCTTCATTTGCATAGTAATTATATTTCTGTATGTACATAGATTATCGAACGACTCGAACGAATTAGTGACAGAAAATTTCAACTTCATATAATGATTCTTTCGATTACATGAAGGCACTTTATTGGGAAGATCATTTGTTTTCTTGGTGCAATTTGCTTGGTTCTCAATTTTCTTTAGAAATAGTGTACCTTTAGTAAAGTATAAATTGTAATCGAAAGAAATATTGACGCGTTTGAAATTTGAAGATAGAAAATGATATCGAGAAGAAGAAATATTTTCACGTACTCAAAAAACAAGGGAAATGTGTTCTTTAATGATTATTTCATTCCGTACGTTGATAACTAACTAATAAGTATAAAAAAATATTATTGCAATCTAATGGAGAAGAAAATGGTAACCCTTCACGGTCCAATTTTTCCTTACTTTCGAATGGATTATTCAAATTGATGGTGAACAAATTGCCTATACCATAATATGTATTATAGCATTGTAACTTTTAATTCATAATGGTGTTGGGCTTTTAAAATGAAACGTAAGAACAGAACATATCAAAGTATATGTTAGTTAGAGAAAATGGTAAGGAACCTGAAGGGACTCTTTAGTTTTAGTAATAATGTCTTTGAAATAATATTAATATTCATTGAAATATTTATTTGTCAAATATTAGATTTGATTCTCTATTTGATAATGAATCCTTAGAACAAATTAGCACTTTTGCTATTATAATTAAAATTTATAAATTTATCTCAAATACCAGTTTCTAAATACACAGTTTGACTTCTATATTTGACTTCTAACAACACAAGCAATCATGTGTAAAATAAATTAAGAAGATTATTAGTTTCCTTGATACTGGACCGTCAAGGGAAATTTATGTCAAAAAATACAATTTTTCCATTGTTATTTATCGATCAATTTCCACGTTCAAATCTTTGTAAATTAAACAAATTACTTACCGTAACATTATCTATATTAGAACACTAGTTTATAATTTAATTTTACGTGTTTTTTGTATGAAGGGAAAACTAGCAAATTTTAACAAAGAACCTATGCAGCGTAGTTAAATTTTTGTTTATATAAATCGAGTAATTGACGTTCAAAATTTTAGTGAAATTGTATTCTTGAATTTGAAAAGCAGTTTGAAAAAAAGTCATTAGTAAAAGGAATTGGTGTAAACTATATAAAACTCTATTTTGTAAATGACTCGGAACTTTTCAAATTTCAGTATTACATTAGTTTTATTTAATTGAATTTCTATCGCGAATATTGATATTTTCCGCGAGGTGTTAATTGTGCTGCCATTTCCGGTAATTATTCTTTCGGAACGAAGATGTTGGATAAATTGAAGTACCTTCTAATTGTATAATAAAACAAAAAATATTCAATTGGAACAAATACACAATTGTTACATTTGCAAACTATTGGACGTTTGTTTTTTTTCTCTCTCTCACTCACATTGAATCATAATAAAAAAAAAGATGCGAAACCTGTCTTAGCTATAATTTTCTGATCTGATTTTAATTGGATCACGAATTGACCCGACTCCACCGATATTTAATAAATGTCTTTATTTCGAATACAACACTGCAGATCTCGATAAGTGCAACTTACAATTGCACGTTTTCTTACAAAAGTGTCTCTTTGTTCTATCAACGATTCAAAGGTGAACATTTGTTCGTCCTACCTGGTCATCAAGGTAAGTTAATTAAAATGGGGTAGGTAGTATGAGATTGTTTAAATGCACACACTATTTATTTCGAATGCATAATCGTACGGCTAAACATACCTGGTTTCGCTTCATTCGGATTTGAATCATTCTTGCACCGGATATACAAATGATGATGAATCGAGCTCTCTTTTTTTTAAATCGGATATTTGGGGGATTAGAATCAACTATATATAAATGTCGATACCTTTACGATGTACACACAACAAACGTTCAATTACTCTTGCTTCGTTTCTCTTCCTTATTACGAATATAAATAATACCGACCTTAAAAACTATTTTACGCTCTTTTTTTTTCTTCTTATTTATTTATTTGCCTATAGAGATTACGTCTAAGAAACTGTGGTTAAAAATCTCTGCGAGACTTTCCTTATTCATTTCTCACTGATGCACATCTTCTTCGCTTCTTTTCGTAAACTGTTTCTCGATTGATCACGCGTGATTCGAATAAATTAAAAGAAATAAAAGATCGTCGCCTGAAAACAAATTCCTTTGCAAGAAGGATTTTTAATCTCTATTCGTTATTCTTAATAAAATAATCGGCAGATACTTTTGCTATCTATATTGCTCGACTACCATCGAGACGAAAATATTGCTAAAATGTTTCTCATGGTGTCGTCATGGATCACCGTAAGAAACGCTAACGTATCTGCAAGTTGAACGCTGTTTCATTGCTAATTTCCTTCGAAACAGAGGAGAGATTTCCTTCGGTGTACCGATAACTATTTGAACAGCTAGTCGATGAAACGATAACAACTAGAAACGTAAAAGAGATCTTTAAGCGATTAAACACTACTGGCGCAGCTGTTACGAAGATTCTTTGTTGCTTGTTTTTCGTTCGACAACGATAACACGGATAAAGAGATTATTAAAAGACGAGTTGTGAACCTATTCATCTCTTTTTCGCTCTTCTTTTAGGCGTGTACGAGTATAAAGAGTACGGTTTGCAATTCACTCAACGTAACTTCGATGAGTACTGAAACAATGATTAAAAAGCATTAACAATGTATGCTGTAACGCGTACACGCCTGTTAATTTACAAAAAAAGAAACGTCCCTTGCGAGCAGAGCTTTCTGTCTCGACGAAAAACATACGCCATGAAAACAATAGATTCTCTGTGAAAAAAGAAATCGAAAAGTCCTTTACGCCTTCCCAATTCGATGCTAAATGATCGTAGATCGAGCGTCGTGGAGCGCCACCTTTGAAGCTGGCGCGCCTGCGCGGACAGCCAATCACGTGACCCCCACCCCGGAAGTCGAGGATTCAATTTTAATCTTGAAAACTAAACGTCGGATTGGAAAATGGTAAAGGACTTTTCGATTTCTTTCGACTCAAAGAATTCATATTTTTCACGATGTATATTTTCATTTTTTGAGACACCCTGTACATGCGATATCTTGTGTCAAGCTTGACACCCTATCATACGAATGTCTCCTAATATCATCATCATTATCGCCTTCCTTCTTCTTTAAAAGGTTTCGAACTTTATCAAAAACTAACTATCTTTCATCGATTTCGAACGTCTTCTCCTTGCGTTTTCCTGTATCTAACGTTTGTCAACTAACGTAAGTGAAAGAAGCTCAAGTTTATGGAGAGGATGTCGATACCGATGACCACCACGGTCACTGGAGCCTGGGGGACCAATATTGGGCTGCCATGTCTGGTGCTGGTTGTCCTGGTACAGCGATTGGAACGCTGACACCCGGTGATATCAAACCTAGAATCGATATCAAGATTATTTCATAAATTTCCTTATCTGCGAATTGAATTCTCGAGTTAGTCTTAGATTCGGGCTCGACCACCTCTCGTTTGCAAGGATATCCCAATTAAGAAAGTTTCTTAAATAATAACGATTGAAAGTGAAAAACCACCAAAGCGGAGTCGAAGATAGGGTTACAGAAAATTGGAACCATGAAAAGGGGTGTTCTTAACGCAGAAGCGAATATGATCCATTACCAGCAGGCTGGATAGCGTGTTATCCATGGTAGTCCATTGGCTAAAGTGCAAGCAGCGAGTGCAGTGAGTGCGGTAGACACTCACCGGTCGAGCTGGTGTTCTGATTGTACTGATTCAGGCCCGCGGCGTGGTATGGTTGAGTGGGGCTGCAGGTGGGTCGTGCCCCGTACCCAAGATGCAGAGGTTCGTAACTCGGAGGACGAGCAACACCGCAGGAATAACCGTTGTCCCGTTGTTGAAGACAGGCACCGGGACTGGGACCCACTGTCATGCCTACGGTCATACCCATAGGACCCATTCCACCTCCGGTCGACAGAGAGGACATGCTGCTGGTTGTGTGCTGGTTCTGTTGGCTGCTACCGGACATTGTGAAGCTCGGCATGGATGTCATGGGGCTGAAATATTCGAAGTAGAGACTTCTAATTATTTTCTCTTGGCTTATTTCTGGTATCTTCAACTGGACACGAGGGTTCTAAATAATAATTAGCTGTCGAATCAACGAGGATCATGGTAATTCTTACCTGTACGAGTCAGGCATGCTGGGTATCCCAGGATAAACGGCGGTGGGTGCGAAACCATGATGTATCCTAGGGGGAGAGGGCGGTGCTTGTGGTGGTGGTTGACCAGCCAAAATACCCGAGGCTGGTGGTGGAGTCGGATGACCAGCACCGACCAAGCTTACCCCACCGGTGTGTTGCTGCTGCTGCTGCGACTGTTGCTGCTGTTGTTGTTGTTGTTGCTGTTGTTGCTGCTGGTGTTGCGGGTTGTCCCTCCGTTGCGTGCGCAATTTCTCTTCGCGCCGCCACTTCGCTCGCCGATTCGAAAACCAGACCTGAGTTAGTAAACGAGAGGACAGACGAAGATACAGGTCAATCGCTAGGCTACAGTTTTCCGCGGACGAAATAAATTTTCCACTTCGCGAAAACGTCGGCAAAATGCTTCCTATGGATTTGTTTTGAAATTTTAGGACACCAACCTAAAAATCGGATTTCTATCGGTTTCAAACGACAGATTTACGCGGAAAATATAGTCACCTGTATTCGTGCTTCCGGTAGACCGATCTTCCCGGCCAGTCTCTCCCTGGCGAAAACGTCCGGGTAATGGGTTCTCTCGAATTCCTTCTCGAGAGCGTCGATCTGTTCGTTACTGAAACTTGTACGATTCCTTTGAAGCTTCCTTTTTAAACGGAGACGCGCCTGATCGTCGTCCGTACCTCCAGACACACTTCCGGCGTTGCTGTTGTCGCCGCCGCTGTTCGTCTCGTCCGAGTGTGCTCCACCTTCGAGCTCTGCCACTACAAAACACAAAGAAACATGTTAGAAAAGAATAAAAATAAAAAGCAAATAAATTTCAAAGGATAATCGTGGATTAGAAAAATCCTCTTCTTGATCGAAACAATCCAATTTTTTACTGACTCTATCTTTTTAGTTTTCCTTGATTTTTTTTTTTCAAGGGTTGTCGACAGAACCCTTCGTCAGTTTTCTTATATAAATATCCATGTGCGTAGAGAGGGACGCGCGTGTGTGAGAACAGGCATAGAGAGGGGTGGTAGGCAGGCGTTGCTGGGTGAACCTTATCGTCGGTTTCTGGGTGAACGCGTCGAGGCGTCACTGGGTTTTGGCTCGACGACGAGAACTACGAGAGAGGGATGGGGTTGGAGGGTGGAGAAGCTGGTGGAATGGCTAGAGGAGGGAGAGAGCGAAGGGGGATGTACGATAAGACGCGAAGCGTCCCAACGCCAACGTCCCTGATCTCCCTAGCACGATACGCCTCTGTCATCCACCCCAAACTGCCACCCTTTCTCTCTCTTTTCCTTCCGTTTTCATCCTTTCTATTTCTATTTCTCCTTTTTTTTTTTTCTTTCATTTGCTGCTTCTATCTTCCACCTTCTCCTTTTAATTTCCACCCCCTTCACCGATCTCTCTCTCCTTCCCATGCCGGTAATCTTTGTTCTCTTACCTCTTCGACGCGCTAATGGAAACCTGATAACAACTTCGATAGAGTCTCTTACCCTTGCACCCTTTGCTTCGTGCCTCTACCCTGTCATTTCTCTTGGCTCGCTACTTTTCTACCTTCGCTTACCTCACGAGAGAGTTTCTTGGTTCGTGTCGAAAGAAGACAGGTGTCGAGTACGGTTCTTGACACATTGATCATTGATTATTTTATAATCGTTATCAATATTTTCTGACGAGCCCCATTCTTAGTCTTCGTTGGGTTAGAAGGGTTTCCCTACTATTATAATAATTCTCAGTAAAAGCGTATTAAAAATATGAAAGATTCAGTGATGTCGATAATACCTCCCAAAGTAATCGTATTCATAATTTTTCTGATTTCTCAAAATTTATTTTCCCACTTCCCGTGTTCCGCGCTATTATTACGAGTTATTAAAGCGATAGAAGTAACGCGATTAACGTTACAAAAGTGTTGGTGCGTTAATAGGAAGATGAAAATGAAGTCGGCCATCGCGGTCGAGTTAGCTCGAATCCGGGTTGGTGGATAACACGTTGGAGAAGGATACGAGAGAGATTCGGTTGGGGCGAGAGCAAAGGACGTAGGGCAAAAGCAAAGAGAAACTCCGATTCCCCTCCGCCCGAGTTACATCTTCTCGCTTCCAACATCTGTCGTCGTTCTTTGCTTTTTCCAGACAGCCTGAATCTCTGGCTGCAATTACAATAGCCTTATCTCCGTAATCTCATCAAATATTCAGGATACCGTGTTAAAATATCTTTGTTACAAGATATTATCTTACCGCTATGGAAAAATGTGTTCGGGTTACATTAGGATTTTTCTGCGAAATTTTACACTGGTATCATTAATGAAAATATAGGTAATTATATGAAAAGATTTTTGGATAAATAAAATTTCGAAAACTATCATAGACACTTCTGTACGAATGCACCGTCGCCAAAGTGTCGCTGAAAATCTCTGATTCTGGGTCAACGGACGCCGAGAAGGTAGAAGAATAATGAGGGATCGTAAAAGCGTGAGCTGGCTACGCTCGCGAAACCGTTAAAAATACGGTGGAAAAAAAGAGTGGGAACGCAGGAAAGATGGCGAACTCGTTATGGGGGTTAATGGTTTTGAACACACGAGTGGCGAGCGGTGCATTATTAACGCCGATAATGGCCGCGGCTAAATGCTAAACGTCACCCCTGCGATCCGAATTCGAATATTTCTATCGCACTCCTGTTACAATGAAGATCCCGGATTCAAGCTTACATCCGATCGTGGTGCTCGAAGAAATCGTCAAGACCAACCCGCGCGGACCACAAAGAAACTCTTAAACTGTTGTACGCGTGCCTTTCTGCCTCCTCGAGAGACCCTCGAGGAAGAGTAGTTTTGTCGCGTAATCGCTCGTTCCTATGCGAACCACTCGACTTTCGATACGAAACAATGGCTACACTTAAACAATAACGCTATTAAAGCGGGGCCACGATGGTGAGTTTAAAACGGTGCGTGGCTCACTCGTGGCCGACTGTTACCATTCAGAAAAGAATCTTTTCGAACGTGAAATGGCGAACGTGCGGTGGCCAAGTACCGTTTTTAATACGCTCGAGTTCACTTTTTCATCTCCGGAAAACTATATCGAATTTCTACCAGTGGTTTTAGAGGGTTTATACGTTGCAAGTTTTAGAAAATTTATCCTACTTACCGGTAATCGACGCTTGGTATATAATTAAAAAGGTCGAAGAAAGAAAATTTGAGATGGTGTGACCGTGCTAAAGGGGGTTGTCAGAGACGGAAAGGGGGGGACCAGATGTACTATTCTCCGCATCGAATGCTAGAATAGCCGTCGATGATACAGATGTTAGCCGGATTATTCGCGGTGTTCAACGAAGCGAAGAGGAAGTCAGGGCCGAAAATTCGGCAAAAACCGGCGCAGCATTAAGGGTCGCCTAATAACGCGTAATACCTCCTCCTATATCCCACCCTGTGTCGCACGTTTTTATTATCCTTCTGGCGTCGCCTGGATGCTTTCCTCGCGAACGAACCCTGCAACGCCATAGGTGAATCGTCGAAGGAGGGGTTCGACCGGGACTGGTTAGGGGGGAAAATGAAAAAGATCACGCACATTGGGCGAACGCGACACCTCGTACCACCCCTGGACGCGACGATTATCATTTTGAAATCGAGTAGAAAAGCCAGTCGGTGACAACAGCCGGGGTCATGGTGCGTTAGTAACGGCCATTCATCGAATGCACCGGGAAAAAAAGAATGGTCGACGCGTATGGGGTGGGGTTGCTGAGGTGTGGGGGTTGAGGGTGAGAGGAACCATTACTCGACCTGTTAACTGGCTAATTTTTACCAATTCCTATCTTTTTGCTAGAAACGTACAATTTAAGAATTAATGTTTAGGGGTTGAATTAGATGAGACAGGGATTACTAGTAACCTATACCCTCAAATATAATGAAATTTTTTCATTACGAGACCCTTCGATAAAATTAGAAATTGTATTCGAACGTAAATGAAATACCCTTTGGAAAATTAAAAATTTTTTAGGATTTTTATATGGACCACCCCCTGCGTAATTTATCAATGGGAAAATGATTAGGATGATAACCAGCAATGGGTGTTGGATATCGAGTGGCTCATAAGCGACTAGTACAAGTTGAGAAGGATCATCCTGGCTACGATACGTTATAGCGTGGCAAGGGGTTGCTCTACTCGATCGGTATCATCCCGCGAGTATAATCCTCTTCGGTCTAATGCCTAATCCTACCGGCAAATTTATTGGATTCTCTTGTCCTTAATGCCGAATATGTGCACCGAGAACTTTCCAGTTTAGTCTCAGGCGAAAATGTATTCTTGGATTAGAGGGGTGACTTTCGTTCAGGCTTAGAGAATTGATAGATCTAACTTGATCTGATAACGATCGTGTTAATTAACGCGGCATGTTGCCGTTAGGAAAGAAGTAGACAAAGTGTAAGGAGTTTGGTAATCGATCAACGGAAGGGGTAGAAGAGACAAGTAAGCGGAAAATGGGCAAAGAGAGGGTGAGAAGAAGGGTGAGCGAACGGAAAGGAAAATATTGGAAACTCCATTAGGAGTGGTGCAAGCAGCGGTGCATCGGAATACATAAGCAGCTTTTCCATAGGGAGTAAACGAAGGGAGAAATCAATTCGGAAAAAAGAAAAGCGAGAGGATACAGAGGTTATTACGCGACTCATTTGAAACCTTTCATTCAACCTCTTCTTCTTTTTCTTTAACGATCGTCTTTTATTCTTATTATTGAACCTGGACGTGATTTTAGATTCTTTCGATGTTGGAACACTTGGAAGTACCTTATTCTTATTTAAAAATAAACGAAGAAGACTATTCTGAAGAAATAAAAAGAAGAATAGGACAATAGCTAATATAAAAATATATCCCCATTAGAAAAATTGATAGAAATCCAACGTTTCAGGTGTATCAAAGTTTGAACTAAGTAGAGGTAATTAACGAGGGCAAAGGTTATAAGTTGTAAGTGTTGGTAGGTTGGGTGTAAGCTGGGTAATTCGGTCACAATGTAATTAGAAAGTAACGGTCTCGTGTGTTCCTTCGAAATTCGAAGGGTGTGCCAGGGCGAAATCTTCGGCAGCCACTAAATGCAGTGAAATCAGCCGATGATAACGCGGATCCGTGCGGCGCAGAACTCGCGCGATTACTTCCGCCCTCTTGAGTCGCGATGTACTTTTGCAAGTTTCGCCTTGAGACTCCTCTCTCCTTCCGTCCTTCTACCCTCTTCACCACCGCCACCCCCTTACTCTTCCTTCTTCTCCTCTCATTCCATAATTTACGCCACGTCGAGCTGCGGTTAAGCTCCGTTTACGCAGCCGAGTTTCTCCTATCCTCGATTTCCTCGGGGCTTTTGTCGCAATCTAGGGAACCCTAGCCCGTTGCTTTTCGCTAGTTCGCAGACTGGTTCGGTTATAGTTTGCCTGGCTCGTGCAACAGCCGGGACAATCGTCGGTTAAGGAGAAATTAACTGTCGGAATTGTTCGCTGGGAAATGGGAAGAATCGTGCTTTAATACATTGCTTGTTAAATTCCTATTACCACCTTTCCGATTACCCTCTTCGAACGTTCGATAAATTTATTCAAAATTCTAACGCAACTTTAGAAATACAGAGAAGAAAGAAAAGTGAATGTCTAAAGGTGTAACAGTTAATTAGCTAACGAAAACTGTCATTACCACAAATTTGATTGATCAAAGCGAGAAAGTAATTGAGCAAGAACATGAAGCAATTTGTAGCGAGTCCACCAAACAAGGCCACCCCCTATTAAACCGCGATGTAAATCAATGACCAAGGGTGA